CCGTGCTGACGAACCGGTCCGAATATGGAGACGATGGCGCTGGTGAGCCGGTCCGAATATGGGGACGAGGCGATGATAAGCCATGCGTCATGTGAAGGCGACGGTCACCATCCAGGAAGGGAATGGCGAGCCTGGTCGCTAGATAAGGACTTCGGCGCTCGGGCCGGTCTAAATGTGAGGATGAGGCGATGATGAGCCGTGCGTCATATAGGGGCGACGGTCGCCGTCCGGGAAGGGATGGCGAGCCCAATCGCTATAACAAGACTTCGGCGCTGGGAGCCGGTCTTGAGATAAATAATCACGTCGCGGCCGAGAGGCTGATCGCGATGTGCGGATGACAATGATGAGAAGCCAGTCCGAAATATGATGACGAGGCGATGATGGAGTCGATCGTCATATAGAGGCGATAGTCACCATCCAGGAGGGGATGGCGAGCCTGATCGCTAGCCCAACACACTCGGCGCTGATGAAGCCGGTGTTGGGATAGGGTGTGACGTCGTGGCCGAGGGGCCGATCGTGATGCGAGGTCGTCAGCACTATGAGGCTGATCCAAAAGTCCAAGCAGCGGTCGCCATCCGATGAAGGAATGACTGAGACCGGTCTTGGGGATATATAATCACGCCGAGGCCGAGGGGGCGATCGTGATGTGCGGACGGAGATGATGAGCCGATCCGATAATATGATGACGAGGCAAGAATGAAGCCAATCGTCATATAAGGGCGATGGTCACCATCCAGGAAGGGATGACGAGCCCGATCGCTAGCTCAAGACTCTCGGCGCTGAGGAAGCCGGTCTTGAGATAGATAGTCACACCGAGGCCGAAGGGCCGATCTTGATGCGCGGATGGCGATGAAAAGAGCCAATCCGAAATATGATGACGGGGCAATGATGAGCCGGCCGTCATATAGAGGCGATGGTCACCATCCAGGAAGGGATGGTCACCATCCAGGAAGGGATGGTCACCATCCAGGAAGGGATGGTGAGCCCAGTCGCTAGCTCATGATCGCGTTGAGACCGAGGGGTCTGCCGCGATGTGAGCATGATGGCGATGATGAGCCGTTCCAATGAATGATGACGAGGCCATGATGGGCCAATCGTCATATAAAGGCGACGGCTACCATCCAGGAAGGGATGGTGAGCCCGATCGCCAGCTCAAGACTCTCGGCGCTGAGGAAGCCGGTCTTGAGATAGATAATCACGCCGAGGCCGAGGGGCCGGGCATGATGTGAGGACGACGGCGATGAGGGGCCGGTCCAAAAATCCATGCAACGGTCGTCATTCGGTAAAGGAATGACTAAGACCGGTCTCGAGATAAATAATCACGTCGAGGCCGAGGGGGTCGGTCGTGATATGAGGACGACGACGGTGAGGAGTCGGTCCAAATAATGATGACGAGGCGATGGTGAAGCCGATCGTCATACAGAGGCGATGGTCACCATCCGGGAAGGGATGGCGAGCCCGATCGCTGGCTCAAGGCTCGCGGCGCTGAGGAAGCCGGTCTTGAGATAGATGATCACGCCGAGGCTGAGGGGCCGGACGTGATGTGAGGACAACGACGATGAGGAGTCGGTCCAAATAATGATGACGAGGCGCTGATGAAGCCGATCGTCATATAAAGGCGATGGTCACCATTCAGGAAGGGATGGTGAGCCCGATCGCTAGCTCAAGACTCGCGGCGCTGAGGAAGCCGGTCTTGAGATAGATGATCACACCGAGGCCGAGGGGCCAGTCATGATGCGCGGATGGCGATGAAAAGAGCCTATCCGAAATATGATGATGGGGCAATGATGATCCGGCCGTCATATAGAGGCGATGGTCACCATCCAGGAAGGGATGGCGAACCCGATCGCTGGCTCAAGACTCTCGGTGCTGAGGAAGCCGGTCTTGAGATAGATAATCATGCCGAGGCCGAGGGGCCGGTCGTGATGTCCGGATGGCGATGCTGAGAAGCCAATCCGATAATATGATGACGGGGCGATGTATGAGCCAGCCGTCATATAGAGGCGATGGTCACCATCCAGGAAGGGATGGTGAGCCCGATCGCTGGCTCAAGACTCGCGGCGCTGAGGAAGCCGGTCTTGAGATAGATGATCACGCTGTGGCCGAGGGGCCGGTCGTGATGTGAGGACCACGGCGATGAGGAGCCGGTCCTAAGATGAGGGACGGCGCAGGGCGCTCGTCTGAGATGAGGGACGGCGATGGGCGCTCGTCTAAGATGATGGACGGCGCTGGGCGCTCGTCTAAGAATGAAGGACGGCGCTGGGCGCTCGTCTGAAAATGAGGGACGGCGCTGGGCGCTCATCTACAAATAGAGGACGGCGCTGGGCGCTCGTCTGAAAATGAAGGACGGTGCTGGGCGCTCGTCTGAAAATGAGGGACGGCGCTGGGCGCTCGTCTACAAATGGAGGACGGCGCTGGGCGCTCGTCTAAGAATGAAGGACGGCGCTGGGCGCTCGTCTGAAAATGAGGGACGGCACTGGGCGCTCGTCTACAAATGGAGGACGGCGCTGGGCGCTCGTCTAAGATGATGGACGGCGCTGGGCGCTCGTCTAAGATGAGGGACGGCGTTGGGCGCTCGTCTGAAAATGAGGGACGGCGATGGGCGCTCGTCTACAAATGGAGGACGGTGCTGGGCGCTCGTCTAAGAATGAAGGATGGCGCAGGGTGCTCGTCTGAGATGATGGACGGCGCTGGGCGCTCGTTGTAGATGATGGACGGCGTTGGGCGCTCGTCTGAGATGATGGACGGCACTGGGCGCTCGTCTGAGATGATGGACGGCGCTGGGCGCTCGTCTGAAAATGAGGGACGGCGCTGGGCGCTCGTCTAAAAAATGAAGGACGGCGCTGGGCGCTCGTCTAAGAATGAAGGACGGCGCTGGGCGCTCGTCTAAGATGAGGGGCGGCACTGGGCGCTCGTCTAATCCGCATGTATGGTCTTGCTTCGTCCATAATGTGTAGTATTTGCCCGATATGTACTTAGTATTGTTGTGGGGATTTCATTTTTTGTTGCTCGAGGACGGCGAGTGCGCGCGGTCCTCGGCTTCCCTCTTTTATTTTTTCTTTTTCCTTTTCTTTTTTTTTATTTCCGTTTCCGTTCCCTATTTTGGGGAGTATCCTTCTTTCAGGCTTCGGCCGAAGGGTGTGCTCGTCCTTCGGCCGGTTCGGACTTCGTTTATAACGTCCGTGATCTCAGAGGGGGTCCCGTCGCCTATTTATGACGCGGGCTAGACTTTTGGTTGGTTTCCAACGGCTGCTGTTGCCCATCCCTGAGTTTTGGGATTTTGTCACCTCGGCCATGATTTCAGGCCTGTCGTCATGCGATCTGGCGCGTGGACGGCGCAGTGAGCTTCCCGTTTCAAGACGTGGGCCGTTGCGGGCCCCTCGTCCTGGGGACATCGTCGGCCATACCTGAGCGTTTCACTCTGGGCTTACGGGGCCAGGACGATGTGCTCTCTCAGCTAGGCCTGAGCCCTTCGCTGATACGACACGTGGTATCTTCTATTTACATTTCCAAAAAATAAGCGGAATACAATAGGTGCGTTGTTCATGGCAACGGCTTTTGGGCGACGCGATTAGCGTCTCGGAGAACGAGGTGTACCGTTTACCGCTCTCGGGCATAATGCCATGTGCGGCCGGTAGCGGCTCTCATTTTTAGATGTCTGAGTCACCAAATAAAGATGGCTAGGGTAGGTCGAGGGACCCAAATATAATTAAAATCATCATATAAAGATGTTCGGTAGGCTAGAGCTCGGGTCCACCACTTTGGGGATTTTTGACCCGGTTTAATGCCGGTGATAAAAATAATAACGCTAATAATAATGCACATTAGCGACCTCGGGAAATTTTAATCCCTCGTAATGGTCTTCACCACCTCGGGGGTTTTTAACCCGCCACAATGGTGGTGGAAATAATATAATTAATAATAGTAATAATTATACTACTATCACTTAATAAATATTTTAAGTGTTTAAATAGGAGTATTGGGCACTTAGCTCTTATTTGGGCCGTTTGTTGGATGTGTTGTTGAATTGAGGCCCATTTTCACTGGTCAGTATCAAATTTGGGCTGAAGTAGTCGTGGCCCGCATTTCCTGACTTCATCTAGGTCTGGCTTCTTGCTTGACAGAAATCAACGCACTAAGTTGTCCCCTTCATTCGTACCAAGTCGTGGGGCCCTGCGGTCTGGGGCGGAGGGTCGTTGGTGCGCTCAGGGGGCCTCAAACCGGAAGAAGAGCTGCAACTTCAGGCGGCGTTCAGCTGGTAGATCCCCAGGAGGAGGCAGACGGCGATGTGGCGGAGATGACAAAACTCAGACTCGGCCATCATCTTCTGGAGCTTTGAGGTGGCCATTAATGGTGGACCTCCGAGTTCGAACAGATCAAGACGAGGAGCCGGCGACCGGAGCTGAGCGAGCGGCGCTGCCATGGGGGCGGCGGAACTCATGCTTGGAGTCGCAGAACTCGTGCTTGGACTCATTGACATGGCCGAGGTGGCAGAGCAAAAAGCGTCTGGGAGTGCCTCGCTAGAGCTCCGGTGGCACCGGTGAAGCTTCCCTAGACCCGCCTTCGACAGATACACCCTTCAATTTGGGCGAGCAGTGGAGTTAGATTTGTTACTCTTGGAGCTTTGAGCTGCCATTAATGGCGGATGAAATCACTGGAGACAGGTACCGTGGCCTAGGTTCTGACGTTTCGAGCAGCGACGGAGGCCAATGCAGTGGTGGAACGGACCTGGGAATGGTTGGTGAGCTTCAGCAGTCGTCAATCTTCAGCAGCCGACTTCTGTATCTAAAACCCCAGATGCAAATTTCCAGATTTTTTTTCTTTGCTATTCTTGACATTTTCAGATCTGTTTTTGACTGTTTTTGGTATTTTGGACGAAATTTTGGTTTTTTGGGAGGATTTCTCACTTGATTATGCTCAAACTCTCAATGAAAGCACCATTGATGGATTATTAGATATCCAAGTATATATAAAATGGAGAGATTGGAGCTTAATAATATGGAGAAGAAGATGAATAGTAGTGATGTGTATTGTGAAGTTGAGACTTAGGTTTACAAGAACTCCCTAAGGGAGTATATATAGAAGAAATAATGGGCCGGGCCGCTAATATGGGCCCGGTAGCCCAACTACATAAAAGACTAATCTAGTACATAGTTACATACAAATGACATATAAGCAGTACAATGATACAAATGATATCCGTAAGATGTGTGTGGGCTGCTGTCCGGGCCCAATAGTCATGAGACCCGGGGGTCCGAGTCTATATACTCTATCAACCCCATTTCTTGATCATGTTGAGTATAGCCTTCATACCTTGAAAACGGCCAGAGAATTGGCCCACCAAACAGTAACCCCAAATCTCAATTAGGGTAGGCACCTCTAGATGAGAAAAATCAAGCTTTTCCCCCGAGGGAGGAAAGTACTCAAATTTTAGGCCATTTGATGGAGCTCGGTTGTCCCGGAATAAGGAGGCATAAGTCAAGGGCTCTCTCTCAAAATCATCTTCATCTTCAACTGAATCTGTGTCTTGGGACCCAAGGGAGATGGACCCCTCAGGTTCTTCACGCGCAAGTGGACTATTCTCGTCCGATGTCTCAATGATGGGAGCATCAATGTTGATATTGGTTTTAATTGCAAGGGACAGTTCGTTTGATGCTGCGGCCTTAGAGGAGTTGGAGTCCAGCCCCAGTAATTTTTCGCATATGCCCCCTAAGACACCATGCCTTTAATTGATGCCGCGGCATAGTCTTGATGTCCAACTGTAGCCTCGGATGCCACGACATAACCTGGTTGTCCCCCTGTGGCACCGGATGTCGCGGCAGGAGTTGAAGCCACACCCAAAGTAGAAGCAGATGGCTTAGTGCCCACAAGTGCCACAAGGTTGTTTGATGCCCCAACCATGTTGCCTCCCACGCCCACTGAGGTTACCTCATTAGAAGGCCCTGGGTGCCCCTGTGCCTTTGCAAAAGCCCCACTTGAGTTGGAAAAGATGGGGTCCGAAGCCGGTAAGACCTTCTTCATGGGAGCTTTCTGCTTGCTTGGCCAACAAGCTCTTGATTTTGTCTTCAAACTGTTTATCCTTCAAAGGTGGGGTCCGTTGTTGCTTATTCTTCCTCGTCATGGCTCAACGAAGAAGATAATGAACAGTGACATCCACAAATGAAAGTTGCCAGAAAATTCTGAAAGAATTATGGTAGGTGCGCTTGGATCAGGGGATCACAATGGTATAGTTTTCTCCAGGGTCCGAGCACTGTGGTAGTCAAAAAATTCTTCTAACTAGTGCCTGGGTCCGTCCGGTTACTGTAGCACAGTGTTCCTGAGGTTGAAGACGATGAACAGTACCTCTTCCTTCTGAAAACGAACCAGAAAAATCTCCAAAAAATACCAGAGCTTCCCCTTGAGTTGGCGATTACCACAGTACAGTTCTTTTATCTCCAGCACCTGCAAAACTCAAGAAAATAAGTGTTAACTAAAACATACCTGCGCACTAAATGAATAGTGGTATGAATAGTGATGGCAGTTCGATTTTCTTGGTTGCAGGAGCTCCAACAGGTACCAAAATGACCGCCTTGGAAAGACGAGTCCCGGACTGTGCTCAGAAATCTGATTGGACGTCGGAGTCGGCTGGAAAATCCAAAACAGTAGCCGCCGGCGTACAGTACTAGCGCCCAACGGCTAGTTTACTTTTCCGGTACGGCGGCCCTCCCCGGAGTCCGGAGATGGATGGGGAGGTGCGCCAGGGGATGGCAAACCCCAATCAAGTTTCCTTGCTCCAATCCAATACGTAAATCTGGAGTTATGATCCAAAAACGAAAGTCTGGTTTTGAGTTCGATGAACAGTAAAACTGCGAACCAAAATCTGATTTTCTGGCCAAAATCCGTTCAAAATTCACCTAGATTACGAAACCAAGTATGGATTAATGATCTAAGATGAATTCCGAGGCAGGAAAGACCAGAAAAATGGAGATTCAATCGTGAAAAGGTTGAGCTCTTGGTGTTCGGATAGTCCAGGAGTATTACGAAGTAATATTCCTAGAGAGGAGGAGAATTTCTCAACGCCGGTACTGAGAGCTACTACTGAGAGCTCTCCTATTATATATGGAGTATCTCGAAACGACCTAACAATGTACTCCGTAATATGGAAGGATGAGTGGCAGGGAAAACGACAGTGATAAATTGTGGTGCTAGCATGTTATCCGCTTGGAGAGAGGCACAAAAACAAGGGTCTCGTCAACGGTCCTTCGATAGAGTCCCAACACAAAGTGGCAGTGACCAAGAAAGGACGTAATAAAAATGATAGAAATTATTCCAAATAGGACAAAAACTCAAAATAGGACTTACTGTGTTTTTCTTTTCAAAATAGGACCATATTAGTTCTATTGGAAACATACCTATTTTTTCATTTCATTCTTACCCTTCCTTTAAATATGAGTTAATTAAATGTTTAATTCATAATAAATTCGAAAAAAATTAAACAATTCGTAGAAAAATAAATAAACAATTTATAAAATATTTATAAAATAAAAAATTAAAATTTTTTTTTTTTGAAAATTAATAAAAAATAGTAAAACTCCATTAAAAAATTAAAATAAATATGGACCTCTTTCTCATCGCCTTTACTACCTCCCTGCACCACCATCTTCGGCCAGTGAAAAAATGGTATTTTTCCTAAAAACTGTCATTTTTTCTGAAAATGACAAAAATATGGCATAATTGTCTTTGAGAATGCCAACATTTTCATTGTTTTCTGCCATAAATATGGTATTCGTAATGAACTTGGCATTTTCCCCCTGGTGACTGGAGGTGGTGGTGCAGAGGCGGCAGAGGCGGCGGTGAATTTTATTTTATTTTTTTGAGCTTTTTTTATTTTTTTTTATTTTTTTTTTATTTTTTGAAAATAAATAAATAAATAAATTATTATTGTCGAAATATTTTTATTAATTTTTTAGTATTTTTACGAATTATTATTTTTTATTATTTTATTATGAATTAAAACATTTCAATAACTATAAGGGTATATTTGTCCAAAACATACATAATTAGTCCTATGAAAAGATAGTTTACTTTTTTGTCCTATTTGTGTAAAGTGAGTGACTTTTTAGTCCTATTTTGATAATTAACCCTAAAATTAGGGAAAATGGTTAAATAGGCCCTCGAACTAACTTAAAAAGTGCAAATCACCCCTTATATAGGAGACTCTGTCCGGCCGTCGCTATTTGGGGCGGTTCCTGGAGGCATTTTTTCATGAATTGTTTTGAGAATATTCTTCACCAAGTCTATTTTACTCATACCAAATTTCAGCTAAAAATTCAATCGGGAAGACAGTCAAATGAATTTTTGAAGAAAACTGCGCAGTTAAACAGCGTAGTACATTTCAGAAAATCATTTGATTGTCTTCCCGGTTGAATGTTTATTTGAAATTTGGTATGTGTAAACTAGACTTAATGAAGAAGATTCTAAAAAAATGTCATCAAAAAATTCCACTGGGAACCGCCACAAATGGTGACGGCCGGACATAACCTCCTATATAAGGGATGATTTGCACTTTTTAAGCTAGTTTGAGGGTCTAATTGACTTTATTCCCTAAAATTAATGTGGGTGTGGTGGTTAATGAACCTGGGAATGTTAGAGCCTGGGATTGGATAGCCAGAAACGATAAAGGGGATTTTATTAAAGCTGGCGGAGGGTCGAAGAGGGCTGGGTGGTCTCCAACAGAAACCGAAGCAATGGTAATTGGGGAGGCTATTTTAGGTGCTACTAAAGAAGGTTGAAGCGAAGTAGAGTTCGAATCAGACGCGCAAACAGTGGTACAAGGGATCAAGAAAGGGGATTGTCTCTCGTATACCGATCTTATTATTGAAGATATTAGACAACTAATTGAAATAAAGATGATTTTTTCTCTCTTTTTGTAAGCGATCTGCAAATTAAATCGTGTTCGCCATGCATTGGCCAGGGCACATGTTGCTCTCTCAGATCTTACTTTAAGCTATGATTTAATTCCTGATTTTATTGTGCGTCAGATGGCGATTGATTTGCTAAATTAATATAATTGTTGAGTTTTATCTTCAAAAAAAAGTATAGCTACTGTATACGAATTTCCATAATCATTTTAACCTCATAAGGATACAACTACAAATATTTCCCTGTTGTCGTAAAATTTTATAAAGGGAAAATCGCACTTTTAGTCTCTCTAAGCGTCACCATATTGAAATGTCAGACTCGTGTTCCCCGGTCTGTAAATGTCACCCTCAATTGTCTAAATTATTGTAAATGTAGTCTTTTCAAGGGTGAAATGTACAATGTGGACGAGAAGTACATTTCACACATCAAAGGACCAGGGGCGGATCCAGAAAGTCACAATGGGGTGGGCTGGGAAAAAAATTGAAATACACATATATAATAATAAGTCAAGTCGTCAACACTTACAAATTCATTAAAACATCATTTAAGTTGTGCCCTACGCGACTTCAAAGTATAAAATTCATCAATAATAGAATCTATATCTATATTATTGACAAAGTCTCGTTCAATGTAGATCATCAATGAATCTTCAAGAAAATCGTCTCCCATTTTGTTACGAAGTGCCGTCTTCACATGCTTCATTGCTGACAATGCTCTTTCCGTAGTAGCAGTAGAAACAGGTAAGGTCAAAACTAGACGAATTAGTCTCGTCAACATAACATAGATTTCTGATTTCCCACTCTCCGTCAAATGTTGACATAACTCAACAAGTGTGGATGCTTCAGATGTTGAAACAATATCATGCTTGTAGTGAATCAACTCATACTCAAGTGAGACAATGTCTTGATCAGTGAAATCTGCAGGATAAAACGTTTTTGCAAGTTTACAGATATCCTCACTGTTAAATGAGCTGAAGGAGTTCTTGGGATTCAAAGCAAGACTAAGTTGAAGAAGTTCCATGGATGTATCATTAAAGCGCGTGCCTAACTCAGTCAAAGTAAAATCAATCGCTTAATTGAAGACATCAAAATGATAATGATGTTCTATTGTTGGTTGGAAACGAGAACGCCCAATCTTATATGGATCACCCAAATTTGGAACATCAATATCATTTGAAGAGCAAAAACTCTTCACTTCTTGAAGAAATTCCTCCCAACCAGATGCTCTTAACTCTGCAAGGATAGTTTTAGTAGTACCAACGAATGTAATAGCACTCGAAATATCAAGAGTTTTTTTTGAAGAACCTGGCAAAGAGCATCAGTTATTCTCAGAAGTTTATGCATCAAATGTAAGACAAACACAAATTCAAAGTTTGCCATTTTTCTATAGGTTCCAAGAACTTCAGCTTTAGATCTTCCATTTGGAGAGTTCTCAACCAAATGTTCAAACACTTTGCAAGTTGCGGCATACATGTTTATCAAACTCTTCACGGAGCTATAGTGAGAACCCCAACGAGTAGATCCGGATCGTTGCAAATTACCAACTTGATTTGCACCACGTCCCAACTCGCGTTCCCGGGTTGCTAATAACTTCTCAATTTCACTTCTTTGAGACACGTGCAACTCCGATACCCGCTTTGGTGAAGAAGTGATAATATTAACAATATTATCCAAATGAGAGAAGAATTCCCAAATTAAGCTAACATCCTTAGCCGCAGAAACCAACGCAAGTTGTAAGCGATGTGCAAAACAATGAATGTAATATGCATAAGGAAAATCTCTACGAAATAATGCCTGAAGGCCATTAAATGAACCTCGTATATTACTCCCACCATCATAACTTTGGCCTCTCATTTTTGAAAGTTGGAGATCATGATTACCAAGCACATCACATATTTTACCTTTCAAGGTACTTGCTACAGTGTCACTAACACTTCTGATGGCAAAGAACCGCGCTGTAAGAATTTCCCTGCTGTTCACAAACCGTATAATAATCGCCATCTGCTCCTGTTTAGATATATCTTGTGCTTCATCAACAAGAATGCAGAAACAACTATTTGCAATTTCTTCACGAACCATTTGACGAACTCTATTTGCCATTATATTCAAGATCTCGTTTTGAATGTCGGGAGCAATGTACTGAGCATTTTTAGGAGCATTCTCAAGTACAACTTCATGAACTTTGGTATTCATAGTCGCAAAAGCTTTCACTAGTTCAATAAAATTTCCCCGGTTTGATGATGTTACAGATTCATCATGACCTCTAAATGCACAACCTTGAAGTGCCAACCATCGAACAGTTATAATAGAAGTTCTCAATCGCAAATGATTTTTCTCCTTTTCTTGTTGCGATTGGGCATGAAAAACATTCTTAATATGGCCAGATGGTTGGCTCAAATTTTCAGCTCTTTGAACACACATCATATGAGGTGATTTTTCTGAAATACCAATGTGTTGAAGAAATGCACATTGACTTCCTTGATTTACCCTCTTCCAACTTTGAAATCCTTCGTTAACTAATGCAGAGGTAGTATGCATATGAATGTCACTCAAGAAAGGGAAGCAGAAAAAACAGTAAGCTTTATCAGTCACAGGTGAATACTCTAACCAATTAAACTTGTCAAACCAGTGTTTCTGAAAACTTCGGTTTTGAGCTCCAAACTTTTTCACTTGATAAGCTTCCATTCTCGGTTGATAAGGCCCAACATTTAGATATGCACGTCTAACTTCATCTCGCACATTAACATGGTATTCATGAATTTGTTTTCTTTTTCCCGGATCCCTCTCAATGGAAAAAGATGAAGGCAACTCAAAATTGGAGATAGATTGGATTTCAGGGACTAGGACATGTGAAGGAACCTCATTGACTAGATCTTGCACTATCGTAGGTATAGGTTCAGAACTTCCTTCACCGGTTTGACGATTCACTTTTGAAAAGAATGATGAAATCAACTTCTTTCCCTTCTTGGCAACATGTTCATTATCCATTCTAAAAAAGCATTTTCAATATTGGTATAAATTAAAAAACTTATATAAAAAATTTATAACAGATTCACTCATTCACTCTAAAATGCACAATTCACATATTCACTCTAAATTCTAAAATTACTCGTATTGTTCAACCTAAAATGCACAATTCACAGATTCACTCATTCAAAATTCACAGATTCACAGCAGAAGTTCATAACTTCACTGATTCACAATAAAAATTCAACACTTCATCCCTGAAAACAACAAAGAGGTCAGAGGATTTACCTGGTCGGGCAGAGGAAGAGGCGGTCCGCGGTCGGGCAGAGGAAGAGGCGGTCCGCGGTTGGGCAGAGGAAGAGGCGGCTGCCGGCTCCGGGCTCCGGTTGACAGGCTCGGACGTCGCTACTCGCTCCGTCGCTCGGTCGCTACAGGCTCGGTCGTCGCTCGGTCGCTGGCCTCGCTGCTGCCTTCGCCCTTCGTTGAGTTCGTTCGACTTCGACAGTCGACTGGGGTCTGGGCTTCCGCAGGCTGGGAGTGGGAGCGGTAAGGCTTAGGCAGATGTGGGCTGTTTTTTCTGGGCTGGGCTGGGAATTATTTGTGGGGTGGGCTGACATTTAAATTTAGGGTGGGCTGAGAATAAAAAATAAACCAATCCTATTAAAAAAAATTGGGCTGGGCTGAAGCCCACCCCTGGCCAGGCTACCATCCGCCCCTGCAAAGGACCAAATTTACAACAATTTGGATAATTGAGGGGTGACATTTACTATCTCAAAAATACAGGTCTGACATTTCAATATGGTGACTATTTTAGGGATTAAAAGTGTAATTTTCCATTTTATAAACTTTTAATTTGATTATTTATATTCAGTAATAAATACTCCCTCCGTCCCCTTTTAAATGTCCCTGAAGAGGGTGGCACGAGTTTTAAGAAAAGTAGATTTGTGTGGTTGATATTAATAGATAAAGTAAGAATAAAGTAAGAATGATTTTGAGCCACACAAACTTTACCAAATAAGGTATGAGACAATTAAATAGGGACATCCCAATATGATAAAATGTGACATTTAAAAGGGGACGGAGGGAGTATATGATTAAATTTATTTCTCTAACCTCCACAAGACCACACAATCATATAAATTTGAGTCTTATTTATATGGAAGTCAATTAGTATCTAGAAATGATTTAAGGTAAGCGAGCAAATAGTATCTAGAATGATTTCAAATTTTGCTTCACGAATTGCTTGGCAAATTGAATACTCCGATTCAAATTCACTTAAATTCGTTAAAGTTTCCTCCATCAGGAATTACTTGGCCACCAAGTTTCCATAATGAAAGGCGGTGTTAGTTGGGACTTCGAGAGTTAACAAAAAGATCTTCTCGTTTTGATTTTTCACGGTATTTTAAGTTGAACTTTGACTCTAGATATCTACATATCTATATTTATAAAATTCATAATAAATTAACATTCAAATAATATGTTTTACAATGAGGTATATGAAATAATTTTTTAATCATAACATAATGTGAGTTTTAAATAAGTAACGGTAAAAGTTTATAAAGTTTGACCCAAAAGAGTCAAACTGGGAAGATTCTAGGGTTACGGAGGTAGTATGTTTGAACTATATACTCCGTATATATTTTTTTTAATACGGAGTAAAAATTTTGAAAAAGCGTATAGATAAAACAAAAGGTACTGGAGACCTGAAGCATCTATTGAAAATATTTATAATATAAAAACAATATGAACATGATCTTTGTCAGACAAATTATCATCAAAGTATAAAACCTAAGTTTCACAAACTTTTAATCCATCGCCCAACTTGCAACCATTAATCAGAAAAAGTGCAAATAAGCCCTCGAACTAACCGAAAAATGTAAATAATCCCTTTTATAGGAGGCTCTGTCCGGTCGTCGCCAATTGGGGCGGTTCTCGGTGGAATTTGTTGATGAAAGTTTTTGAGCATCTTCTTCATTAAGTCTAGTTTACTCATACCAAATTTCAGCTAAAAATTCAACCGGGAAGGCAGTCAAATGATTTTCTAAAAATTTGCCCCTTTTCCCTAATCAGAATGACGCTCTAATAATCGTTTGAACATATCTTTTCATACACAAATGCAAACGAAACAATTCAAGTTTCATGTGAGAGCAGGGGTGGACCTATACTTGTTCAAAAGAGTTCACGTGAACACCCAAAAATTTTAACTAGTAGTGTAAAAATACATGTATATGAGTGCTAGTGTTATAATTTGTATATGCATATGAACATCCAAAACTTATAAAATAATTCTGAACCTTCAAAATTAATGTCCAAGATCCGCCACTGTGTGAGAGATAGTCCAATGGGATGCAAATCTCATGTAAACACTATGACGAGAATATAAAAGGATCAGGATGAACCCAGACAAGTGAGTCGGATAATCGGCTCGCGCACGCCGGTTTTGGACGGAAGCCAATATCGTGTGCACGATCGTGCGCACGCCGCGCATGCGATTTAATTTCACCTACTTTTCCGATTTTTCCTATTTAAGCAGTCCGTAATCCAATGTTTTGGCTTAGACTGAGTTTAGAGACAAAACCTAGGATGAGGTTTTCATGGTTTTTCATCTTTGACTGGTCAAAGTTCTGGGATGGTTCATGAGTTTTCTCTCCTTTTCAATTAATGGTAATCAATTCTTACTTCCTCAATTCTCTTATTAATTAAATTATGAATCAGAGTACATTTGATTAGGGATTGAAGATTGATGCAAGGGCGTAATTCATGATCTAAGGTTGGCTCTTGATGGATTAATTGCATGATTATTATTTAATTTGTGTGTGAATAATTTAATTGTTTTTATAACCTAGAATGACCGCTAGGATTATAATTGCACATCAAATAATTTAAGAGAGGTCCGAATTGTTCTAGTACATTTCCACGCACGCCTAATTTCTAGCTAAGAGATTAATTAGCATGGTTAGATACTGGTACACTTGCTTATTTCGGAACGAATTAGAAGTCTGTCGCAAGGGAGATCAACACGACTTTCTAAATCGTTGTACTCTGCGACATGAGAGCGATAAGAATTTAGTATTGACTGTGTTGCTCAATTAAATAATTTTCATGTGATTAAGCTTGATAAGCCCCGGAATCTGATTGTCCTAAAAACAAACCATATTCCCTTCATGTCATTAATTAATTCGAAAGAGACACTTAATTTTACCTTTGTTTCTGTCGCATTTTAATTCCAAAAAATCATCTTGCACAATGCCATTTCATTTATTTATTTCAATCACTGAAATTATTTAATATTTAATTCTCTCTTTTCGTATTTGTGGAGATGATACTCATACGCATACCGTATACTTTTGACATACTCCCTCCGTCCCAATTTGTAAGATACTTTACGATTTACGATGTTTGACCAACGATAAAGCAACTTGATCTCTGTCAACACTCAAATTAGTTTTATAAAATAAAATTTACATATTCAGAAACTACATTAAAACCGCTACAAAACCTGCAAAAAATAATTCAAATTTCATAAACTTTTGATATATAAAGTAAAAGATTAAGAGATATTTATGTTGACCAAGTGAATAGTAAATGTATCTTACAATTTGGGACTGAGGGAGTATATTTTAAGTGTGAGAAAAGTCACATCACAATTCTTAAATTTAAATGCTTATTATAAGTAAGTATTAATTATTTATTCTGTTAGATTTTAGTCGTATAAATAAACAAAATTGATTAAAACAAGTTGGTGACTTTGTGAATTGAGAAATCGTGATAGAAAACTCATTTAGTTGTCAAGGTTTGATATTATTTAGAGCACGTTTGGGGACCCTGTTTTATTTCTTATGAGGCGTATCAGTGCACTTTATCACTAAACACATAATTTTTGATTTTGTGGGCTGAATTGTGTAATAATAAGGAAAATGTTGTAGTTACTTTTCCGGCTGTATTGACTTTAGTTACTGTATAGGACCATTTTAACTATTTTTCATATAATTTCTTCCTTATTTTATTAGTAAAATATATGCTAATTTTTTTTAATAAATCATCAGAATCAGTCAATCCAGCCATATCAATTAGAATTTCATAAATTTCAGCATAATCGATCAACCGATTTTGGTGTTACCAAACGGGCTCTTAGTTGTGAGAATGAATTTTCCTATTTTTAGTCTTGCTATCATTTAGTCGTATGAGAAAAAACAAGTAGCCTATATGTCAAAATTTTGGCCATATGATACGCATCCCAGTTACCTTCCCGTTTCGTATGACCCAGCTGCACCTGTTGCCTAAAAATCATTTGTATACTTTCCTGAATCTCAACCGACCATCTTCTCCCTTCCTTACCTTCGAAATACTCCAACGCAAGACAAGAATCTGATTCAACCTGAAAACCTCTGTACCATTCCTCCACCGCCCATCTGATAGCAAAGAGAATATCTTTGATCTCAGCTTCCAACAACGACATAGCAGTGGAAAGCTTATCGCTACAACAAACTCGCCTTTCCGGTCACGCATAATCGCTCCTCCGATTTCCTTATCAACTAAGTAACTCACGTCCACATTTAACTTCCATTTCATGTTAGGCTTGCTCCATCTGATGATCTATGGTTTGAAACCCTTGAGCTTGAAGTTTTTTGGAACTAATTCTTCCTCTATCACAGTACTACCTATTGACTGAACCTTGGAATTAGATAGGCTAACTACCCAATTCTGAGTGTACAGTTTCACCTGAAGTACAATATTGCTAGAATTAGGGTTATTTCCCCCATTTCCCCAGATTTGGTCTACATATGTCTTCCGAATTATCCAACAGATAATTCCAAGGATATTTTGTTTAACTATGTCATCCATGCTAGTTTTTCCCTCTCCTGATTTCCAATAACAGTAGAGATTGTAATCCAGACTCGGGGGTTGATAGATTCCAAAAATGCTCAGAAAATATTGCCATGCCACTTTTGCAATTGAACATTGATAAAATTTATGCTTCATAGTATCACTATGTCTTTTACAAAGAGGACACCTAGAGGGATTTAACACATTCTGAAACCTACTAAGATTATCCGAAGCAGGTAGAATACCTTTAATTATTTTCCACTGTAATAACTTGATTTTGAGCTCAACTTTTGATTCCCAAATCTGTTGATAGATGGTAGAATTAAAAGACAATTCTCTAACCTCCTCATATGCTGATTTGAAAGAGAATTACCCATCATCTTCTTCATTCCAGGTTAATCTGCCAGATGAATCCATGGTACAAAGAGCAAGACTTTGATCATTGACTGAGCATATCCTCCTCCAAATTGCTGAATCTGAAATTTTAGGTATCATGCTTCTATCCCTTTCATATCTTAACCTCATAATCTGCACCCATAGAGAATCTCCGGTCTTCTATTTCCGCCATAATTTAAGAGTAAGAGCCTTCTCTATATCAGTCAAGGATCTGATTCCAAGCTCACCTTCCATTGTAGGGTAGCATAGTTTAGACCATTTTGTCCAATGATATTTTTGCTTGTCATTTGATGACCCCCAAAAAAGGAGACCATCTTTCTATTTAACACTTTGATTACCTTTTTGGGCATAGTGTCTACTGCCAGTAAATGTAAAGGGATAGATGTAACACCCCGGCCCCGTAGGACCCGAGGTAGTTACTCCAGACCTCTCTCTAGACCTCTAGTACTGCCCTCACAAACCGCCACTAGCCTTTTCTGCGCACTTTGTCCTCACTCGTGCGCGCCCTGAGAAACTTCCTAGGGGGTCACCCATCCAAGACTACTCCCGTGCAAGCACCCTTAACTTTGGAGTTATAGGCTAATGAGCTCCCTTAAAAGGAGATGCACCTTGTTTGTATGAGTAGTACTATTGATAGAGTATATCTAGAGAGAAGTGAGAGCTAGAGAGAGAAGTGCAATAATATGCTTCAATAGAATGATTTTGTCACCCCTATAACTACTCCCAAGGGGAGTATTTATAGAGAAAATACGGGCTGGGCTCCCAAGCCTTGGGCTTGGGAGGCCCATTTACAACTGGACCGCTATTGGGCCGAATACAAAGCCACTAATGGGCTGTACAAATGAGTAAGTGTAAAATCCGGTTCTGTGAGGTCTTCGTAGCCGACGAGGGCGTGTCCGACGAGGACACGGCCGACGAGGGCGCGGCCGACGAGGGCACCCGGGTTCCTTGGCTTCAGGACCATATTCTGAGTTGGTACCCTTCCGGCCGACGGGGGTCCCTTGGCCGACGAGGGCACCACTCAGTGTCTTGTGTTTTCTGTTCTTCTGAGTATGTGGGTCCTGGGGCTCAGACCCATATACTCCATCAGGAGTCCCCCACTCTCTAAGCTGAGACGTAGACGAAGTGAAGGAGAGTAGATTCCCGCGCTTTGGTGCTTTTGGCCGATGCGGGCACTCCCAGGCCGTTAGCTACTCCTCGTTGTGGACGGGGGGCCGTTGTTTCCTTGGTGTGTCCGTTTGGGGACGATGAGTGCCCTGCTTCGATGGTGGCCGTTGAAGGCGCGTTTTCCCTCTCTTGGACGTTGATGGTTGAAATTTACATTTGGGCCGATGAGGCCGTTGAGGTTGAACCTTGCTTCGAGGACGATGGGCGTCCTTTCCTTTGGGTGGCCGATGAGGGTGCTTGCGCACTCCTTTTGGTCGTCGCTGATTGGCTTTCATGCTCTTGGCGGAAGAGCCCATTATGATTAACTGTTGGCGGAGGACGATGAATGTCCTTGCCTTAGGTGGCCAGTTGGCCGTTGCTGATGATGTTATGTGCCTTTGGCCGACGAGGCGCAGTGTGATACATGGACGATGTGGCCATGCTTTGTGGTTACATTTGTGTCCTTTGCATTTTTCCTTTTTGTTTTGTTGAGGCCGATGTAGTCCCCCAGTCCCCCACTGCTTCAGGCCGAAGAGAGTGAGGGGTGAAGGAGTTGCTTGAGTCCCTGGCCGAAGCGGCCTCTCCGTAGTCCCCCTGAATCCAACCCTTATGGCGATTTTCTGGCCAAGGTAACCCTGTGGGAGAACCCTTGTGCGCAGATCGCTTGTAAAGAGTTATCATCAAGGGCCGTTACGAAGAGTCGATGGCTGCAGGTTCTTTGTTCCTTTGGTTCTGTGGCCGTTACCGGCGTTCATGACGTTCCTTTCCGTTGTCGTCTCCTTATTGCTGGCATTTGTGAAGCGGACAAGCGTATAGGCCGTTGTGGGCGCCTTGCTAGAATTTGTGAAGCCGGCAAGCATATAGGCCGTTGTGGGCGCTCGTTGTCCGTGCGATCCGTAGGCTTTTACTCCGCCGATAAGTTGGTTCACGAGCCCGGCCCATTTCTGAAGGGGTGGCACCTCATCGGCTGCTGGGAAGGTGACCGCTGAGGTGGCCATTGATATGGTGCCACGTGTAGTGACCGTTGGAGATTGTCTATAAATACCCCCCCTCCTCCGAAGCGGTTCCTTACTTGCATTCTTGAGATATCGAAGTGCTGCCCGAATTTCTAGAGAGAGAGAGTCTTCAAGGTGTTCTTCGAGTTCTTCATACCTTCAAGGTTAGTTCCTTGACTTGTTCTTCAATTCCTTTGCATACTTTGCTTCCCTGAGACTTGATCTATTGTTAGTAGACCAAACACCTTAGATCCGAAGTAATTCACCTTAGGCTCGTAATAGTTGTTATGATGAAGAGCTTAGATGAGGAATACTATCTGTACGACGACCAGCCCTCCACTAGGTCCCTCGACTACGAAGTGCTTGAGGAGTTCGAGGAAGAGATAGAGCGTTTAAGTCCTTACAAGTCTGGAGAGCCAATGGACGACGAAGGTGAGGACGAGGAGTCCGCCTCGTCTTCAAAAGGTGAGGGCGCGGGTGCGTCCCAGGTGGTGGACGGGGCGTCCACTTCTGCTGCTATTCCGTGCCCGAGACCGGTGTCTGCCGTGAAGGGAGCAGAGAAGCCGAAGAGAGTAAGGAGGCCGAAGAGTGGGCCAGGCATCTCCTACCTGGATCTCTCAAATATTTACCTGATCAAGCCGGAGAGCAGCGCGACTGACTACTTAGTTGCCCAGATGTACGTGGGGCCGTTCGGGAGGGTTAGGGCACCCAGGCCGACGAACCATGTACTCAATCCGCCACCGGGGTACTTCGGAGTGTACCCGACGAGTTTCGCCAAGGGGATGAGGTTTCCCCTTCATCCCTTCATCACTGAATATCTGGACATGGTGGGACTCCCTCCGGCCTTGCTGACCCCGAACAGCTACTCGTTGATGGTGGGGTTTTTGCTCCGCTGTGAGGAGTTGGGCTACAGGCCGACGACGGCTCTGTTCATGAATCTTTATCAGATTGGCCGAGGAAGCCACAAGAATTGTGCAGCCTATGCTACTCTCCAACAGTTGCCGAAGAAGAGGAGCTTCACGGACTTGCCTTCGTCCATCCATGGATGGAAGAGCAAGTTCGTTTTTGTATCCCTTGGTGAGAACGGCACTGAGTTTCCCTCTCTCGGCCACACTGGGAGGTTCAATCTGCACGACCCGCCGAGGAGTTCGATCTTGGACGCTCAGGTGGAGGCGTTCTTGGAAGGGGGGTCGAGGAGCGTGAAAGACTACATCACCGAATATAAGATGACCGCCCTCGGCTTCTTTAGGTACTATGTGTATGGCGACAAGGAGGACGATGTCCAACTTTGGCCGAGGATGACCATTACCTTCGAAGAGGCCGACGGCCCGGATTTGGGCATTCCTGCTGAGGCCGATGGTAATACTTTCTCCGGCTTTCTTCCTTTGTCTTTTGTTCTTTTTCCTTGCTAATCTGTTCATTTTCCTTTGTGTAGGCTTTGTTATGGATCGCTGTTCAATTATGGCCATAGCCAAGGCCAAGGCGGCCGAGGAGTTGGCTGCAAAGGCGGCCGAGGCGGCCAGGCGTGCCGCGGCCGAGGGGGCGGGGCTACTGCTTGTGCGGCCCCGAAACCTGCCCAGTCCAAGAAGAAGAGGCCTCCCACTGACGGCCAGAAGAAATTGACCGAGGCTGGCCTGAATCTCGCTAAGAAGACGAAGAGGGCACCGTCTCCTTCCCATGCCGATGAGGTCGGCACTCTGACCGTCCCAAATGTGGACGATGGTGGTCCCGTTGTGGATCTTACCGCTGCTCCCAGCGACGCTGCCCAATCGCTCCCTATCGTCCAGGAGCCTCGGACGAAGCAGGCCGGCAAGGAGATCGCCGCTGCCACTTACCAGAAGATGGTGGAATACCCCGTTGGCGGGGGTGTCTTTGACGATGGCGTCCTCGGTCATGATGTGCTGGCCCAGGCCATGCCGGCCAAAGATCGGGCCTACCTCAAGAGGCTCGGGGACGTCAAGGTGTACGAAGGCGGGATGGACCTCATCGTCCAAGTAAGTTCCCTTTCCTTTTATTTGTTGTTTTTCTCGTCGTCCGGGTGAAGTCATTGCCTGAGTCTTTGTTTGCCTTTGTTGTGCAGGGTGCCTTCATGCTCATGGAGAGCCACAAGAGGCAGCAACGGGAGATTGCTCGTCTGAAGGAGCTCGAGCAAAAGGCTGCCTCGGCCGATGAGGCGGTGGCCTGCTTGGATCGGCTCCGGGAGGATGCCAAGGCTCTGCAAAAGAGGGCCGATGAGGCAGCTGCAGCCAGGGACGATGCCCTGGCCAAACTTGAGGAGAGCCAGAGGGCGCTTGAGGCTGAACGACGCAAAAATGATGAAGCCGTGAAGGCCAAAATTGAGGCCGAGGCTGCCGCTGATGAGGCCGTTCAAAAGTTCCTGGCCGAGGGATGGAAGGCCGACGAGCGGCTCCCCTGGTGCTATGAAGTGGTGGCAGCCAAGCTCGAAGATTGCGGAATGAACTCCCCCGCCGGCCAAGAGTACTTTGGCAGGGAGATGGCCGTGTACTACAACAGGGGCCAAGAACGGATGCAGAGGCTCCTGTGCCGGCGGCTGGCGCGTTCCCTGAAAGCAATGAACTATACCTCCGGGTGGGCTTCCCAAGCTGATGAAGGATCCCGAGGAGCAGGCCAAGCTTCCTCTTTCGGAGAGGGAGGCCCCAATCCAGAGCTCCGGCCTCGGCGAGCCGGACTATGACGAATTTGATTTCCTGGACGATGCCACCAGTTCTGCAGCTGCCGCCGACTAGGAGACTGAGGCCGAGGAGGGAACCGAAGATGCCGGAGAGCAGACCCAGGCTGGGCATGGAGGTGCCCAAGAGACTTGATCGGCTACTCCCCGTTCCCTATCTTGTAATTAGTTACCTTTTATTTCTGCCCATGTGATGTAATGGTTGAAGCGCCCACCAATGTACTTAACTATTTATGAATGAACGTTTTGTTGTCCTGCTCGGCTTTGAATGTCTTGTATGTTTATTCCCTTTTGCTGTTTCAATTTTGAAATTCGTCTAAGTGTTAAGTTACAACTCAGGTCACCCGCGAGTGTCTGCTACGTTCGTGAGGTAGTCCATTCAGTCTGGTGGCCTTGTCGGTCTGTCCGGTGTTTCTCCGCTGTCGTAACACTTGGGATTTATTCAAAAATCTCCTAAGTGTTTTAGATCCACTTAGGTGCTTTCTTTCCGTCCTGACCGAGGCGGGCAAGCTGGGGTGTCCGCTGCGTCTTGGCATTGTCCCATTCTTCTTTTTGTTAGAATTTTTCTAAGTGTCCAACTTCAAGTGGATGGGTGTTCTCATCGTCCTGGTATTGAATCTCTCCTCAGAGTTGACAAATGCTTTGGGAAATTCCCTAAGTGTTGAACCCATGTCGTTGTTGTCGGCCTAGTGTTTTTCGTGGCCGTTGTGTTCCCTTGTTCCTGATCTGATCAAGGAGGTCGGCCTGGATCCTTGTGTTGTGGCCGATAAGGGTACTTTGAACTTAGTCTTCCTTTTTTTTTGAACATAGAAATTTTTCTAAGTACACACGCAAGACACAGGTAGCTAACGGCCTGCGAGTATACAGGTGCCCGCTTCGTCTAGAGTTTCTTCATTTAAATACTTAGAGATTTTTCTAAGTATAAGTGCAAGACATAGTTCCTTCTTTGTGGTACCGTTGTCGGCCAAGAGATGGCCCTACCTTCATCGGCCAAGAGTTTCTCTAAGTATCGGAATTCTCTTAAGGAACCTTTTTCCTCAGGAATTTTCTCTAAGTGTTTGGTAAACACTTGGACAAATCCCCAAAGATCTTGCGCTTGGCCAACAGCCTGGGACTCAGTGCCTGTAACGGCCATCCGGAATGCTGTGGCCGGTAGGGATTGTTGCTTGAATGCTTAATTCTTCCGCGGGTGTGATACTGCCCGCTTCGTCCTGGTCATCCTCAGGATTGATACTGTCTGCTTCGTCCTGGTCATCTTTCAGGATTGTAATTCTTTGTTTCATGCTAAGTGTTGGTGCTTCAAAGAGATGTGGCCGATGGGGGTTACCACTCGCGTGTCACCCAACCACTGGTTAGGGTTTATAGGCGTATGCTTCGTCCATGATGATTCCCTTGTCTGTGATGGACGTGGGGCCATATCGTCCATGTCACCTGTTAGTGGTACTACGCTTGTGTTCAACTGATATGTACTTAGCCAAGTTTGGCCGGAGTTGTGGGGATTTTATTTTTTCATTGCTCGAGGCCGGCAAGTGCGCGCGGTCCTCGGCTTCCCTCCTTTTTTTCGTTCCCTATTTCAGGGGAGTATCCTTCTTTCAGGCTTCGGCCGAAGGGTGTGCTCGTCCTTCGGTCGGTTCGGACTTCGTTCATAACGTCTGTGATCTCAGGGCAGGTCCCGTCGCCTATTTATGACGCGGGCTAGACTTTTGGTCGGTTTCCAACGGCTGTCGTTGCCCATCCCTGAGTTTTGGGATTTTGTCACCTCGGCCATGATTTCAGGCCTGTCGTCCTGCGATCTGGCGCGTGGACGACGCGGTGAGCTTCCCGTTTCAAGACGTGGGCCGTTTGCAGGCCCCTCGTCCTGGGGACATCGTCGGCCATACCTGAGCGTTTCACTCTAGGCTTACGGGGCCAGGACGATGTGCTCTCTGAGCTAGGCATGAGCCCTTCGCTGATACAAAATACTGTAAGAAATAATTGTATTTAGATTTTGATGATGCTATATTAATTAGGACTTTAGAGTACCCCGTTAGTAATTATGTATTAGAATTTTCCCTTGTAAAGTTCTTAGCATATTCGACTACCAGAAGGCCTCTCTACCAGAAGTCCTCCAGACAGAAGATTTTGGTTTTCTGTCTAGGAACAGAAAACCTCAGGGTCTCTGTTACCCTTCAGCGTGACAGAAACCCTCCTGGTTCTCTGTAAGCTACCAACAACAGAAGTGCTCTAGATCTTCTCTGAATCAGTTCTCTGCCAATGTCACCAGAAGGTCTTACACTTGGAAGAAATCCACAAAGCCGGGAAGTCAACTTAAAGATTCCTTCAACGGCTAGGAGTATAAAACGGAAAAGCTACAGTGCTCGCATTAAATGCTCATTTAATGCTCCCCATGCTCCGTGGAGTAATTGCAGATGATTGGCCGCAATGTCAGGATTACTTTATCCCAAAATAGTAACCCGCCAACTTTACCGGGTCCTACTGGTCAAGTCAACTGCTCTCGCATTATATGCAGTTGTCCTCCTACTCCTCCAACGGGAAGACAACTTCAGTATAAAAAGATACACTACGAAGAACAACCGGATAACTTTGCAACTTTGCTATAACTTTGCCAAGATCACATTGCTACAAGCAAGATATTCAAACTCTGAAAAGCAAAAAGCCTCCTTGAGATTCAAACTCATTATCCTCTACAAGAGAAGGCAGAAGTTGGAAAAATACTCTTTCCAACTCAAGCAAAGTTCCAAGTGTTCTTCAACTCTTCAAGCTCATCACATACAAATATTTTGTAACGAAGCTAGTTGGAGGAACCCCTGTTTCAACAGAAACTCTTCTTGCTACAAGAAGGACGTCCAAATAACTGGAGTAGTGAAGTGGTGATACTTCAAGGAAACTCAGTGAAAGGACCAGTGTTAAAGGAAGCCAGGCAGTGCATCCCATGACACATCTAGGCTTGAAGAATACGTGGAGTGCTTCTTAAGTACTAGGACTAAGGCTTTGTAAACGACAGTTTTTACAGTTTAGTGGAACAGTGGATTAGAGGAACGAGTTGTTCCTTGAACCACTATAAAAATCCCTGGTGTCGTTTACTTACTGCTTTTAATACTTGCACTTAGTTAGAACTGTATAACTCCTTGGACTTGGTATCTGTGTTCAGCAGAACTTGTTCTACGAGTTAACAGAAGGCCTACTGCCTTTGCTTCTCTGAGGCTAACAGAACTCCCTGCCAGAACCCCATCCGCTGCCAGTCTGTTCTCTCAACAGAACAGGCTATTCTGTAAATCTGGTACTTAGTTTAAAAAGCTAAAAACCAATACAGTCTATTCACCCCCCCCCCTCTAGACTGTATCCAGTATAACCGGGACCAACAAGTGGTATCAGAGCCTCCTTGTTCTAATAATCTCTTAGGTTATTTGTTGAACAAAGATCCACTTGTTTTTCTGTTTTACCTCATTTCTATCTGATATAATGGATCACTCCTTGTCCAAGAATCTTATGTTTTCAGATCTTAAGTTTGATGACTGGAGGATCCGGATGAAAGCACATCTCTGTGCCCTGCATGATGAGATGTGGGAAGTTCTAGATATTGGCCCCTTCACAAGCTTCCAGAAGGTCAACCCTGAACATGCCATAGACAACACCAGACCCCAGATGATCAGCAAAGCCAAGTCAGAATGGACCACTGAAGAGAGGAGAAAGTACAACCTAGACAATATTGCCAAGGACATCCTCTACAAGTCCATTGATGATAGGTACTTCAACAGAATCAAGAAGTGCAAGACTGCTAAGGAAATCTGGGATACTCTTGAACTCATTGGAGCTGGTGATGAGCAAGAGAAGGACAACAAACTCACCATAGCCAACAAGAAGTTTGATGATTTCAAACTTCTCCCTGGTGAAAGCATCTCCAAGATGTATGACAGGCTCCTCACTCTCACTGGAGAGATCTCTGAGCTTGGCAAGGATCTCACAACCAAGGAGATCAACCTGAAGGTGTTGAGGGGACTGCCCTCAGCATGGAAGATGAAGGTAGTTGCTGTCCAAGCCAGCAAGGATGTAAAGACTTATCCCACTGATAAGCTCATTTCAGATCTCAAAGCTCATGAGTTTGAAATGATTGAAGAGAAGGAAGATGTACCAGAAGAGAGGACCACTACAGCCCTCACTGCCAGCACATCTAAGGTAAATGATTTTGACCCTTCAGTACTCTTATCTGATGAATATATGGCTGCCTTTGCCAGGAGATTCAAAAAGTTTATGAAGAATCCCAAAGATGGAAGGAGTCCATCTTTCAACAGAAAGCCATACCAGAAGGTCAAATCAACAGAAAGCAGTGGAGAGCTTCTCTGTTACAACTGCAGACAACCTGGTCACTTCAAGGCTGATTGTCCCCATCCTAGAGTGTCCAAGAAGCAAGGACAGGATGGAGAAAAGAAGAAGTACGAGGACAACTCCAGAAGAAGAAAGGCACTTGTGACAGAACAGCTGGAGAAAGACCCTCTGTCAGAAACAGAATCCAGTTCTGACTCAGATTCTGATGAGGCCTTCTGTTGCCTGGATACTGAGACAGAAGACCTTTGCTTGATGGCTCATTCTGATGATGAGGTAACCTCTACTTCTGAATCTAGTTTTTCTTCGGTAGGCTTAGCTTTTGATTCTGATTCAATGTCAGAATTTTGGGAAGAGTTTAAGGCCATACAAGCCACTTATTCCTCTGTAACAGAAGAAAACAGTAAGTTGAAAGCTGAAATTCTTGACTTAAAGAAGGAGGTTGAGATCAAAATCAATCTTCTAATTGAGGAAAGAGATCAACTGGAAACTGAAAATGTTTCTCTTCTTAAGAGAATAAGAGAAATAGAGCCTCTCGAGATTAAGTACAAAGCTTACCAGAAGGCCCAGTCTTCCATGGAAAAGATTGTGCTTGATCAACAGATTGGCACTGGTTTTGGTCTTGGTTATGGCTCAACAGAATCAGGTGAGCCTTCTGTAATGCCTAGCACCAGAGTTGCTAAGGCAGGTAAGGTCATAGAGCCACTGATTTCTAGCCCCATCCGTCAAGTTGGTGTATCTGGCACCAAGGTTGTTCATGAGGAAGTCAGACCAGAAAAGGGTAAGATAAAGGTTCAACAGAAACCCTTTTTGAAAAACAATGAACCTGGCAGAAAACCTAACAACAGAAAAGGTTTTCAAAATAACAAAAATAAAAGACCATTCATTGACAGACAACCTCATGTCAATCGTGCCAGAAATGATCACCAGAAGGGCAAATATCAAGAGAGAGTTAACTTCAGGCAGAAGAGGTTGGCTGGTCAACTTCTGAAGCCCAAGGTTAACCGTCCCTCTGCTCTTGATAGTATATGGGACTTCTTTCCAACAAAGAAAGCTATGCAAAAGTATGTAAACAGGAAGCATGACCCTCACAAGCATCTGCCTAAAGTGAATCACACTTCAGTTTACTATAACTACCAGGTGGACAATGGGTACCACCCACCAAGGTTTCACTTGATGAGACCAAAATGGTACCAACTACCCAGACTCCATGACCCCCCAGGACCCAGCATTGCTTGGGTACCTAAATCTTTCTTTTGATCTTGCTGGAACTGTGTGCTGGAGTCATCTCTGAACAAGAATGGTTTATTGATAGTGGATGATCCAGGCACATGACAGGTGACAGAAGTTGCCTAACAGAGTTCCAGAAATGCAAAGGACCTAGAGTTACCTTTGGAGGTAATGACAAAGAAGGTCAAACAAAAGGAAGAGGAAAGCTGATCAAGGACCAGATAATCATTGATGATGTCTCATATGTCAAAGGACTGAAGTTCAACTTGCTAAGTGCTAGCCAATTCTGTGACAAAGGCTACACTGTTGAATTCACAAAGGACTTCTGCTATGTGAAGCATGAGACAACAAAGGAAGTGGTTCTTACAGCATCAAGGAAGAAGAACATCTATGTAGTTGATTGGAACACTGCAAAAGATGGAGTTTGCCTGATAGCCAAGGGAGATTCAAAACTGAGCTGGGACTGGCACAAAAAGCTCAACCATTTGAATTTCAAAACAATCAACAAACTGGCCAGAGAACACATTGTAGAAGGGCTACCAGACATCGTGTACAAGAAGGAGACCCTCTGCAGTGCATGTCAGAAAGTCAAACAAGTGAAGAATTCCTTCAAACCCATTGCTGGAGATCTTTCTACAAATCCTCTAAATCTGATTCACATGGATTTATTTGGACCTGTTGAGACTCCAAGCGTTGGAGGCAAGAAATATACCTTAGTCATGGTTGATGACTACTCCAGATACACATGGACTGTTTTTCTGTCAAAGAAAAATGAAACTCTTCAGAAGTTGCCATCTCTGTTAAAGCAACTTCAGACTGAGAAGAACTTGAAAGTGAAGACAATCAGATCAGACAGAGGAACTGAATTTGTCAACCAAGTTATAAAGGACTTCTGTGATCAGAATGGAACTTTTCATCAACTTTCTGCCGCCAGAACCCCTCAACAGAATGGCGTAGCAGAAAGAAGGAACAGAACTTTAAAGGAAGCTGCAAGAACGATGATTGCAGAATCTGGATTGCCTATGAGATATTGGGCTGAAGCAATCAACACTGCATGCTATACTCAGAACAGAAGCATGATCAACAAGAATCACCAGAAGACCCCTTATGAACTCTGGAAGGGAAGAAAACCTAACATCAGCTACTTTCATGTATTTGGATGCAAGTGCTACATTCTCAACAATGGAAAGGAGCATCTGAAAGTATTTCAAGAAAAAGCTGATGAAGGAGTCTTTATAGGCTATTCAAACACCAGTAAAGCCTATAGAGTACTCAACAGAAGGACCCTACATGTTGAAGAATCCATACATGTGAAGTTTGATGAAAGTATCTCTGTTAAAGAGGTAACAGAGATTCTCAAGGAAGTCAGCATAGAAGACAGAACACCAGAAACAACAGAAGAGGTGGCAGACAACCCTGCATTTCCAACACCTGCACCAAACCCCCTTCTGTTGAATGAAGATGAAGACTCTGAAGATGAGGAACCAGAGAGACCAAGACAGCAGCTGACAGAACCAGATCTAACATGGTTAAGAGACCATCCTCCTAACCAAGTGATTGGTCAAATCAGAAGTGGAGTTCAAACCAGATCCACATCAAGGAGAGAAGCAATGTTTGCCTGCTATATATCTCAGATGGAACCTATGACAGTTGAAGAAACTCTTGCAGACTCAGATTGGATCAATGCTATGCAAGAAGAGCTCACTCAGTTTGAGAGGAACAAAGTATGGGAACTTGTTCCTAGGCCAAAACACCAGAATGTCATTGGAACCAAATGGGTATTCAAGAACAAAGCAGATGAAGATGGCAACATTGTAAGGAACAAAGCAAGGCTAGTAGCAAAAGGATATTGTCAAGAAGAAGGAATAGATTTTGATGAGACTTTTGCACCAGTTGCCAGACTTGAAGCCATCAGAATCTTTCTAGCCTATGCTGCCTACAACAACATCAAGGTCTACCAGATGGATGTCAAGAGTGCATTTCTGAATGGAGATCTTGAAGAGGAAGTTTATGTGGAACAACCACCAGGTTTTGTCATTCTTACTCAATCTTCTTGTGTCTACAAGCTTAAAAAGGCCCTTTATGGTCTTAAGCAAGCTCCCAGAGCTTGGTATGACACATTGTCCCTTTTCCTAGTGAACCATAGGTTTACTAAAGGAAAGGTTGACAAAACTCTATTTCAAATCTCTGTTGCTAATCATATTCTATTAGTACAAATATATGTTGATGACATTATATTTGGTAGTACTAATCCAGAACTGTGCAAGAAATTTTCTCAAGTGATGCAGAGTCAATTTGAAATGAGTATGATGGGAGAACTCAGTTACTTCCTAGGACTTCAAGTCAAACAAGTTCCAGAAGGGATCTTTATCAATCAAGGGAAGTACACCAGAGATCTAATCAAGAAGTTTGGAGTGGAAGGCAAATCATCAGTGAAGATTCCCATGAACACTTCACAAGGAATTGGTCCAGATGATGAAGGAAAGGATGTAGATGCAACAACTTACAGAGGAATCATAGGATCTCTGTTGTATCTAACTGCAAGCAGACCAGACATCTCATTCTCTGTTGGAATCTGTGCCAGATACCAATCAAAGCCCAAGGAAAGCCATTTAAGTGCTGCAAAGAGAATCATCAGATACATAAAAGGAAATCCAAATGCAGGCCTATGGTATCCCAAGGGAGGTAACTTTGAACTAATTGGTTATTCTGACTCAGATTTTGCAGGTTGCAGACTAGACAGAAAGAGCACTTCTGGTCACTGCCAATTGCTAGGAGGAAGGCTTGTTTCCTGGTTTAGCAAGAAGCAGAACTCCATCTCAACAAGTACAGCTGAGGCAGAGTACATAGCAGCTGGGAGTTGCTGTGCTCAGCGACTCTGGATGAAGCAACAACTGAAAGACTATGGAATTCAAGCAAAGGAGATCAAGTTGTTGTGTGACAACACCATTGCCATTGCTATCACTCAGAATCCAGTTCTTCACTTCAGAACAAAGCACATTGAGATCAGACATCACTTCATCAGAGATCATGTTGAAAAGAAGCACATCTGCATGGAACATGTGCCAACAGAAGACCAACTTGCAGATATCCTGACAAAGCCTCTTCCTGAGGCTAGGTTCAACAAACTGAGAGAGGAATTGGGAATGATGGATGAGATTCCAAGGGAAAGATGAAAAGGAAGGCCCTCTGTTGCTCTTTTGCTGTTGACAGAATACCTGTAGCAGAACCCCTTCTGTCAACCCCTTCTGATCCCTACCCTGGCAGAACACCTCAGCAACAGAAAACCCCCTTCTACAGAAAACCCTCAGAAGGTTGTGGACTTAAAAATTTTCTGAAACCGGGTGTCCTAGTAAATTATTAAAGGTATTTTACCCTTTTACCCTTAAAACGGTATCAAGCCGTATAATATTTACTGCGCCCCCGTTTAATTACTCCGCCCCTTTTTACATTTATTGGTTTCTTGGAACCATAAATTAATCCCAAACGTCCACTAACCCAAACACATAAATTCCCCTTTCGCAAACCTAAACCGCTACTGCTCTCATTACTTTCAAACTTTCAAACCTCCATAGCTCTCAAGCTCTCTGATTACTCTCTGATCAAATGGCCTTCATCAACATCAACGACCTCACCAAGGAGGAAATCAACACCCTTGTTTCAAACATCTACACAGGGATGAACTGCGACCTCTCCGCACTCCCTGAACTCGCTTCAAACCATGAAACGATGATGAAGATCATCAAGGGAGTGGAGGACTCCCAACTGAACAAAGTGGTAGGTTATCACTTTGAATCCTACAGTACAAGGGATGTAGCAGAGTTCTATCTCAACGCTACATACGAAGGGGAGACCATTCGGTCTAACGTCAATGGTGAAGACATTACACTCACCCCTGCAGACCTCAACGCCCTCTTTGGCGTAGTAGAGGACCCTCAAGAAGAAGAAACTGAAGGTTTCCTCACTCTGGACAGTGTCAACGTCACTGTGGACAACTTTGTCCAACTCTACTGCCGACCTGAAGTGGGTAGAGTTCCAAAGCTTTACATGAAGAAAAACCTCCTTCTGAGCGACTATGAGAAATTGGTCAACATCCTGCATAGGTGTGTCTGGAGCAAGAGCACCTCCACAGATGACATGAATGCACTGAATGCAAAGGCTGTCTTTGCAGTTCATCATGGGATGAACATCAACTGGGGACAGGTAATTGTCAAATCCCTTGTTGAATTCACCAAGAAGAAAGACAAGGACCCCCATGGGTTATGGTCTCCTAATCTCTGAAACCTTGCTCAAGGCAAGGATAGGACTGAGAAACTCTATTGAGGCAGACTACACCAAGCTGCTCTTCCTCAACACTTCAAGTGACAGGAAGGTTGCTCTCAAGGCAGAGCAGAAAAGACTCAGAACCCTTGAGTTCAACAGAGAAAGGCAACAACAGAAGGTTGCTCACCCAAAGAAAGTTTCAAAGAAGCAACAGAAATCCCCTACCCCTTCTGACTCTGAAGAAGAAATACCTTTGGTGAAGAAGGTGGTCAAGAAGGTTCCCAAGAAGAAGACCACACCTGTCAAAGTTCACAAGATGGTGGCAAAGAAATATGTCCTTAAGAGAAAGGCACCTTCACCTATCTCTTCAGCAAGCACCCCCTCTACCTCCCCCATTGCAAAGAAGACCAAAATTTTGACACCTGCAGCACAGGAGAAGCTGGAGGACTCTGTCACCTCAGCCCCAGCCAACAGAAATGCTTGGCACGGCAAGAGGATCATCTTTGAGTCAAGTGACTCAGAAGAAGAAGCAGTGGTGCAGAATGCCACTTCTCAGGGGGAACCACATTCTTCTCCTCCTGCCTCTGCAAATGATCAACCTATGGTGGTTCCTTCACCAGAACACCAAGAAGGAAGTAGTACTTCAAGCCCTGATAGGAAATTCATCAGGGTTCTGGCATGGAGAAAGTGGAGAGTGGGACCTCTCACTGAACTCCTCAAGAACTTGTCCTACTTCATCTCTGAAGAAGAAGAAGTACTCAGATGGGCTGACACAGAAGATGTGGAGTCCTGCCTACACAAGGATTTTCTTCTTTCTGTCCTACAGAAGAAGAAGGAGAAACTTCAAGGAAAAGCACCTCTGGTCAGAAACTCACCAGAAGACCATGTGAAGGCTCTTCAAGAGCATGAGATGCATGACTTTGATGCTTGGCTCATTGAGAAAAAGAGGAAGGAGTCAATGATCAAATTCCGCCACAGTGCACATGGAGAAGGTGAACCCTCTACTGCCAATGATCTACCTCTGGTCATGGAAAGACTTGTCAAAGAATGGAGAGACTCTCTGTTCACCGAAACAATACTAGAGGTAATTCCCCCAATCATTCCTTCTCCCCCTCCCTCTCCTAAAAACACCTCTCCTCAACCCCAACAGAAATCCTCCTCACCCCCACAGAAAACCATATCTGCACAAGAAACCCCTTCACACCAAAAACCCTCCACCCCCAAATCTTCATCTCCTTCACCCTGCAAACCGTTCTCTCCTCCAAAGAACAAATCACCATCCCCTCAAGGGCAAATTATCCCATACCAACACCAACAGATCATCTCCTCTACAACTTCACCCCATCAGAGAACCTCCTCACCCAAAACCAAAAATCCATCTCCCTGCAAATCCCAACCCTCAATCAGATCCAGATCACCATCACCTCCACCCTCTCCTCCACAACAACAGCATGCTCCCTCACAACAACAAGAAAACCCCTCCATCAAGGAATCCAGAACTGCTTCTCCACAACCTACACCACAAGATGCAGCCACTCCTATCTCCTCTCAACACTCTGTGGCTTCTACCCCCATCAGGAAACCTATCTTCAGGGTGCCTTCCTCTTCCAGTGACAATGATGGAATTCTTACATCCTCCATTGCTGCTGATGAAACTTCCAAAAGGAGGAAGACCCCTCCTCAGCATGAAGAACAACCCAGAAGGCCTCCTATGCCTAAATCAAGAGGTCTAGGTATGCCTGGGAAAACAGAATCCAAAGAAGATAAGCCCCAAATCTCCTTCAATCAGTTTGTCACTGAAGCTGAAGATTTTAGTGGTAAGATGCTTGATGGAATGGATCAATTGGCTGAAATCAACACAAAGCACCATGAACATCTCACTTTTGTTCACAATCATCTTGAGGCTGGACTTCAGCATATCTCAGAGAAAGTTGAAGCTCTGACCCAGACACTGGTCACCTTCATGGAATCATCATCTGCAAAGTTTAATGCTGTTGCCAGAGAAGTGGATGGTGTCCACTCTGTTCTCTACTCCCAGTCTCAGATTCTCAATAAGCAGAATAAGCAACTCAAGGATATAACAGAATCCCTTGACATTGTACAATGGTATGAAGACCAATCTGCTGAGAAGTTTATGCAGCTACAACTCTTGAATAATGATCACAAAGATCAAGTGGCCACCCTGATAAAAAAGGATCAAGAAAGATATCAGAAGCTGATACTACTTGAAGCTGGCTCTCAGGACATCAAGTCTGCTCTTGATCGTCAACAGAACTTGATAGAAGGTCTGACCTCTGTCACGCAGACCTTGTCAGAAACTCTTGAGCAGATAGCCATCTCCCAGGCAACAGTGTTCCAGAAAATTGCCATGATGATCTCTGACCTGGATGATGCCAAAAAGGGGGAAAAGGAAAAGGACCCCCAACAGAAGAAATTGCCCCCTAGGCCAACTGCTGGGCCCTCATCTGATATTGATCCAACCCCTTACTTCCAGGCCTCTCAACAGAAGAAGAGAGAAGCTGGTACCAAGAAGAAGAAACCCTTGAGCCTAACTGAGTGGAGACTTGGAGGCTCCCAGAAGCTTGATAGAGCACAGTTCGAAGAAATTCAACAAAAGATGACCCCAACTCAAAGGCAGAATCTCTATCTTGACAGAGATGGTCATATAAGGGTCAGACATGGTGGTTCCTTGGAAGAGGCTGAATACTGGTTCCACAAGAGAGTACTCCCAGGCAAGGATGTACATGAAGGAGTACTTCATTATCTAAATTGCAAGCTCTCTCCCATTTGGGCCTCATGTCAAGCACCAGGAAATCTGGCTGGCATAAGAGAAGAAGTAAATGTTGAACTGAAAAATCTGAAGGAACAAGATCGCAGAACCAGAGCTGAAGCTGAAAGGGAAAATCTGTAATTCCTTAAAACTTCTCTTAATACTCTTGATCTAATAAAAGCTTATCTCTGCTCCTTCTAAAGTCTCTTTGCTTCTGTACTCTTTGTTGCTTACTATTTCATTATGTACTTATTTCTTCTTGAACTGCTATCTGAATGTATCGTACTCTTACTATTTTCCTATGCCAAGTTGCCCACCAAGATTTTAATGAAAAGTTTTAAACTTTAAATTTTTTATGGTGAAGGCACTTCTCTGGAAATAGTTAAAGGATTTTGACATCATCAAAAAGGGGGAAATTGTAAGGAATAATTGTATTTAGATTTTGATGATGCTATATTAATTAGGACTTTAGAGTACCCCTTTAGTAATTATGTATTAGAATTTTCCCTTGTAAAGTTCTTAGCATATTCGACTACCAGAAGGCCTCTCTACCAGAAGTCCTCCAGACAGAAGATTTTGGTTCTCTGTCTAGGAACAGAAAACCTCAGGGTCTCTGTTACCCTTCAGCGTGACAGAAACCCTCCTGGTTCTCTGTAAGCTACCAACAACAGAAGTGCTCAAGATCTTCTCTGAATCAGTTCTCTGCCAATGTCACCAGAAGGTCTTACACTTGGAAGAAATCCACAAAGCCGGGAAGTCAACTTAAAGATTCCTTCAACGGCTAGGAGTATAAAACGGAAAAGCTACAGTGCTCGCATTAAATGCTCATTTAATGCTCCCCATGCTCCGTGGAGTAATTGCAGATGATTGGCCGCAATGTCAGGATTACTTTATCCCAAAATAGTAACCCGCCAACTTTACCGGGTCCTACTGGTCAAGTCAACTGCTCTCGCATTAAATGCAGTTGTCCTCCTACTCCTCCAATGGGAAGACAACTTCAGTATAAAAAGATACACTACGAAGAACAACCGGATAACTTTGCAACTTTGCTATAACTTTGCCAAGATCACATTGCTACAAACAAGATATTCAAACTCTGAAAAGCAAAAAGCCTCCTTGAGATTCAAACTCATTATCCTCTACAAGAGAAGGCAGAAGTTGGAAAAATACTCTTTCCAACTCAAGCAAAGTTCCAAGTGTTCTTCAACTCTTCAAGCTCATCACATACAAATATTTTGTAACGAAGCTAGTTGGAGGAACCCTTGTTTCAACAGAAACTCTTCTTGCTACAAGAAGGACGTCCAAATAACTGGAGTAGTGAAGTGGTGATACTTCAAGGAAACTCAGTGAAAGGACCAGTGTTAAAGGAAGCCAGGCAGTGCATCCCAGGACACATCTAGGTTTGAAGAAGACGTGGAGTGCTTCTTAAGTACTAGGACTAAGGCTTTGTAAACGGCACATTTTACAGCTTAGTGGAACAGTGGATTAGAGGAACGAGTTGTTCCTTAAACCACTATAAAAATCCCTGGTGTCGTTTACTTACTGCTTTTAATACTTGCACTTAGTTAGAACTGTATAACTCCTTGGACTTGGTATCTGTGTTCAGCATAACTTGTTCTACGAGTTAACAGAAGGCCTACTGCCTTTGCTTCTCTGAGGCTAACAGAACTCCCTGCCAGAACCCCATCCGCTGCCAGTCTGTTCTCTCAGCAGAACAGGCTATTCTGTAAATCTGGTACTTAGTTTAAAAAGCTAAAAACCAATACAGTCTATTCACCCCCCCTCTAGACTGTATCCAGTATAACCGGGACCAACAAATACAATGGAGTACCTGAGCTTGTCGCTTCGTAGGCTGCAAATGCAAGGTGCCATGTCGGCCATACCTGAGTCTTTCGCTCTAAGGTGGCCGATGAGGGCACCTGCTAATATTTTACTTTAAATTCCAAAGGAAAAATCAAGAGGAACATGATTTTATTCATAAGTGGCTCGAGGCCGAGGGTGGCATTCAATCAGTAACCCGTTAAGGGGTGAGGGCTTCGCCGTCTGCACCTCCTTCGGATTACTGATAAAACTTTACCAGATGGTGTACATTCCACGTTCGTGGTACATTGGACCCATTCAGGCGTTTAAGCTTGTAGGTGCCGGGTTTGACCACGGCACTGACGATGTAGGGCCCTTCGTACTTCAATGCTAGCTTGCCACCCTCTGTCGGCTGGCTTGCTTCCCTTCGGCGGAGGACGTAGTCCCCCACTTGAAATTCCCGGGAACGTACCTTGGCGTCATAGTATGATTTTACTTGACGCCGGTAGTTCTCTGCTCGGACGTAAGCTTGCTCACGCCTCTCGTCGACCAGGTGCAGGTCAATCTTCATGTTTTCTTCATTGGCGTCAGGCTCGTATTGTTCCACCTGTCGGCTGGGGATGGCAATTTCCGTGGGTTCCTTTACCTCAAAGCCGTAGCACAGGGCGAAAGGCGTTTCACCTGTCGCCCTCCTCGGCGTGGTTCTGTAGCACCACAGGATGTTGGGGAGCTCGTCGACCCAACTACCCCCTGCGACCTGGAGTTTCTTCTTCAGCCCCTCCATGATTGTCCTGTTGGCATTCTCAACCTGCCCGTTGCCCTGAGGGTAGGCAACGGAGGAGAAACGATGCTTCACCCCAAACTCCCGGAGGAGCTCCTGGAAAGGGACTGCCTCGAATTGGGTGCCGTTGTCTGATATAATCTCCTGGGGGACGCCGAAGCGTGTGATGATGTTCTTGTAAACAAATTTTTGGCATCTGGCCCCCGTGATGCTGGCCAGGGGTTCCGCCTCGACCCACTTGGTGAAGTAGTCGACGGCGACGATGATGTAGCGATTGTTCCCGGCGGCTCTGGGCAGGGGCCGACCAGGTAAATCCCCCATCTAGAGAATGGAATTGCGGTGCTGACGGGGGCGTAGTTGACGGCTGGCCGACCAGGGGCCTTCTGGAGCACCTGGCACGTGGTACACTTCCTGGCCAGGTCCGCACAATCTCGCGCCATCGTCGGCCAGAAGAAGCCCTGGACGACGAGACGTCGGGACATGCTGAAAGGGCCCTGGTGCAAGGAGCAAATGCCACAATGAACTTCTTCCATGGCCACGTCGGCTTCATCCTGGTGCAGGCATCGGAGGAGAGTGCCATTATAGGATCGTTTGTAGAGTTTGCCATCTTCAATGGTGTAGCTTGGGGCCCTGAGTTTGGCAAGTTTGGCCTTCTCCTCGTCCGGGGGCAGCTCCCCCGTCGTGATGAATGTGACGATGTCGGAGATCCAGTCCTCTGGTCGCTGTTGGACGCACAAGACGGGGCTGGCATGGATGCTGGACATGCTCAACTCCTCGATCTTGGCCAGCTGGGAGATGTGCTCTGGGGTGTCCGAGCTGAGTTTGGAGAGGATGTCGGCCTCGGCGTTCTAGGCCCTTGGGATCTGTGTGATCTCATGGGTTTCGAACGCCTTCAGCAGCTCCTCCGCTGCCTGTTTGTACTGCTTCATCCGGCCTTCCTTTGCTTCGTACATGCCCTCAACCTGACCCACTACCAGCTTGGAGTCGCACCTGATTTTGATATGTCGGGCTCTGAGGCCGGCGGCGAGTCTGAGGCCGCTGAGGAGGGCCTCATACTCGGCTTCGTTGTTGGATACCCTGAAGTTGAAGCGGATGGCATAGTAAGCTCTGAATCCTTCAGGGGATATGAGGACGACGCCGCCACCGCATGATTTCGCGGCCGACGAGCCGTCAGTGAATAGGATCCATGTATCGTCCGGCTCCGGCCCGGGGTTGGCAACGACCGCCTCCCTTACTGTGCACTCAGTGACGAAGTCGGCCAAGGCTTGCCCTTTGATAGATGGCATTGGCTTGATCTCGATCTGAAACTGGCTGAGGAAGATCGCCCATTTCACCATCCTTGAGGAGCTGGTGGGGCTCCTCATGAGTGCGCCGAGAGGCTGCTGGGTTAGCACATGGACGGCGTGGGCTTGGAAGTAGTGCCCCAGCTTCTTCACCGTGTGGACGATGGCTAGCACCGTCTTCTCAATGGGGGAGTACCTGAGCTCGGCCTCCCTGAGTGTCTTGCTGGTGTAGAAGATGGCTTTCTGCACCCCTTCGTCCTCACGGATGAGCACGGAGCTGATGGCCGACGTGCTCACCCCTAAGTACAAGAAGAGGGTTTCGTCGGCTTTGGGCTTGGAGAGCACGGGCGGGGACGATAGGTACCTCTTCAATTCTTCGAACGTTTCCTGGCACTCCGTCGTCCACTTGAAGCTGTTGGCTTTACGCATGATCTGAAAGAAAGGGAGTGCCCTCTTGGCTGACCTGGAGAGGAAACGGTTCAGGGCCGCCAGGCGCCCCGTCAGGCGCTGTACTTCCTTGACGTTGCGGGGCGGCTCCATGTTGATGATAGCCTGTGTCTTCTCCGGGTTTATCTCGATGCCTCTCCGGCTTACCATGTAGCCGACGAACTTGCCGCCTTGGACGCCGAAGGCGCACTTCTTGGGGTTGAGGCGGAGCCTTAACTCCTTCATGATTTCAAAGATTTCCCGGAGGTCGTCGGCATGGGTGGAGGCATGCCTGCTCTTGACGATCATGTCGTCGACGTATGCCTCCATCGTCCGGCCGAGGACTGCTCTGAAGATCTTGGCCACCATCCTAGTATAGGTGGCGCCGGAGTTTTTGAGTCCGAAGGCCATGACGAGGTAACAAAAGATTCCCTCTGGGGTCATGAATGTCGTCTTCTCAGCGTCATCTTCATGCATGGAGATTTGGTGGTGTTAGGAAATTGATGTAACGTACCTCGAAAGTACAGCAGCGGAAGTTTAAAATTTTCCAAAACAGATCTTCCCTGATTATGACAAAACAACGAATAAAACAATAATGACAGATCTGAGTCAGAACTTACAGATCTTCCAGCCTAGCGGTGATAATCCTTGACCTTTGGTATCCACGTGATTTCTCCTTTCCGAAAGAACGGTAAGATCTCCCTAAGAGAAAGGCTAGGAAATCTCTTCGCAGGGAAATAAACTGGTAATACTGAATCTGAAAACTGGTCTATGAATTATGAAGGAGAATGGTGTATTTATACTAGTTCTAAACTAGTTTTTCAATCACATTGAAAGTCTTCCTAATTAATGAGTTTTAGTCCTAATAGGACCAATACTCCTTATTAATTAAATAAGTAGATTAAACAAAATAATATAATAATAACAATAACATTAGAGAGGTGGCTGCACGCCACTCTCTACTTGTTATAAGTATTATTATTTATTTCATTTTCTTTTCTTTTAATTACAAATCATAAAAGAAAATACCAACTTTATTTAATAATAAATACACCTTAATTAGGTATAATAAATCTAACTTATCATACTTAATTAATTCTATCGGATAGAACTCTCCTTCAACTTAATGAATTAAATATGTTTAATCTAATTAATATTTAATTCATTCTCAGTATTACTAATTAAATATTATTTAATCTAATTAATAATATTTAATTCCTTCTAACAGTTCAATCAGAAGGTATAATCACTTGTTGTGTGACCCATAGGGCCTTATATATTGAGCACTAATCAAATTAAGGTCTTAGTAGAATCCCTAGACGATTTACCAGACAAACTTAATATATAAGGACGTTTGCGAGGACTTATTCAAACTCCCTGTAATATAGAGCTCATAGTGATACGGTCCTTTCATTCAACGAACATTCAACTAAGTCTAGAACATGATATTGTGTCTATCCCAATAACTCAGTCTCTGTCTCTCAATCTTTCTAGATGATCCATAACGATCATATTCGATATCCAAAACGAATATATCTTTGCATTGGCCAATGACTTTATGATCCATCTAGATATGAGAAGTAGAATGTTCTCTCTTAATCTATTATGAGGAATGAATCCTTTCTTGGCTCAACTACTACTCCATGTGCTTCGTGATGCACCCAACACATGCCGTATCTACCCCGATTGGAGTGCAAGCGTTGGTCATGGTCAAAGTACATCACTCCGCACATGTAGTACGTATTGACCTCAAGTCGGAGGACTATTACACTACTCTATACGCCGATAATCCCATAGACACATGAATAGAACTTATCAAATGGTTTCTCGGTGGGTATGCCAATATTCTCTAAAATATCTATGTGACCATCATGAATTACAGGAACTCATAGTCGTGAGATCAACTATACTTTCTAAAAGTATGATGCAGTCCACATACCAATCTTATCGCATATCATCAATATCCCATTCTTGATGATCATTGATTGGGGCCTTTTTAGGACCTTATGTTTTATCATATAAGCTCCCACTTACTTATTGACAACATAAGTCCAAGGGAACACAATTATGAATAAGACATTGACAATCGAAATGCTTAATCATCAATGTGTAATACCGTATATATCAAAAAAATAAAACTGAATGTGATCAAGTACATATATCTCTAAAAAGTGATTGTCGCTAGGACATATATACTAACAATCTCCCACTTGGCCTAGTGCCAATCACTGATGCGTCTAACACCTAGACTCTCAAAAGTTTAGTGTGTTTCTCGAATCTTAAAGGTTTGGTGAAAGGGTCAGCCAAATTGTCCTCTACGGGAAGGCATTCTATTGCAACTTCTCATCTTGCTATTTTGTTATAAAAACATGATAGCATACTGATATATTTTTTTTTTTTTTAGTTCCTTACTTTGCATCTTAGTTCCTTAGCTTGTGCAAATGCACCGGTACAGTCACAATAACAATTATTGGATAACTGTCGCTAGGAATTACCCTTATTTCTTTAAGGAACTAACGTATCTAAACGCTTACCTATGTTGCATCAAATGCAACAATTTACTAGGCTCTAGTTGTCGAATTTACTAGCATTACTATTACATTGAGACTAAAAACATATACTGACTGTGACTCGTAGTCTTTCTTATCATACATGAAACTAGTGCTAGAATAGTTAAATTCTACTAGTTCTTTCTGTCTACCATAGACAAAAGATATTCATGAAGATTTTGGATGACCATTCTTTCGCGGACTTCAATGAGGGGATATCATTCTCTATGATCAACATATATGATTATAAAGACCATGCTATCCTTGTTGCGCACTCTAAACACGCAAGCACCCTCATTTCATTTGATAAGGTCAAACGGTTTGACTTTTTCATCAAAATTAATATTTCAACTCCTAGATGCTTGTTCTAGCCCATAAATAGATTTCTCTAATTAACATATTGAATTAGAATTCGATATGGATATAAAACCTTCAGGTTGTACCATGTACACCTCCTCCTTGAGGTTTCCATTAAGGAAAGTGGTTTTGACATCCATTTGTCAAATCTCATGATCATATTATGCAACTATAACAAGCGAAATCCAAATGGACTTGAGTTTTGCAACTGGCGAATAGATATCACTATAGTCAATTCGTTCTCTTTGACTACAACCTTTAGCCACTAGCCTAGCTTTGTATTTTTGCACATTACCTTCAGCATGAATTTTCTTCTTGAAAATCCTTTGCATCCAATGGGTCTAACCCAACAGGCAAGTCAACCAAGTTCCATACTTGATTGATATACATCAAGTCCATTTTAGATTTCATGGCATCTCGCCACCTCTTTAAATCAACATCTAATATTGCTTTAGTGTAGGTCTTAGGTTCATCCTTATCAGGAATCCCAACATCATCATGATCCTCCATGAGGAAGTCAAACCTAGTTAGTTCATGACGAATCCTGGTGGACCCACAGAGTTGAATGTTTTGCGTTTTGTTCAGGCTATTCATTCTGATTGTGAAGAGGTTCTCTTTCATTGGACTATCCAATGCTCGGAGATTTTTCTAGTGCTACACTTTTAAGTGGTTCCAGAGAAAGAGAAGTGGGTGCAGAAGGAATGACAACCATGTCATATTTTCTTTAATAAGAATCATTTGCTGGTGCGAGGTGATTCCTATGTTACTCCCACTAGCTGAAAGACATCCTCCTAGAGACATGCTTCCACTCAATTCTCCCACTGAATCCTTGTTTTGACCATCTAACAAGTCTTCATCCTCTATGTTATTTTGTGATTCTTGAACTCCATCAAGTTCTATCCTCCCACGATTACATTCCTTAAAGACCAAGTCTTGTACTAGGAATCTCACTCGTTTGGAAATAATTTTATATCCCCGGGAAGATAAATTAGTATCCTCTAGTTTCCTTAGGATGCCTCACAAAATAATATCTCTCACTTTTAGGTCCCAACTAGTCAATGTCCATTTTCTTCACATATGTAAGGCAACCTCACACTTTAGTATGTGTAAGAATAAGCTTCTTATTACACCATAACACATAGGGTGTCTTTTGCACTAACATAGATGGAACTCTATTCAGAATGTATATTGAGGTTTCCGATGCGTACCCCCAAAGAGATGTTGGAAGAGACTGGAATTCATCATGGACCTAACCATCCTTTCAGAAACCCAATTTAATTGAGGTGTTCTTGGAGGAGTCCATTGTGACTGAATTTCTTGATCTTTCAAGTAATAAAAAAACTACTTACTCAAGTATTCCCCTCCACGATCAGATCGTAGAGTCTTGATACTCTTGCCAAGTTTTTTTTTTCTCTACTTCAACCTTATACTCCATGAATTTCTCAAAAGCTTCTCATTTGTGTTTCATAAGATACACAAATCCAAACCTAGAGAAATCATCAGTAAAATGATGAAGTAAGAAAATCCTCATCTAGCTTGAGTGGGGAATTGTCCACACACATCTGTGTGAATCAACTCAAGCACTTCTTTGGCCCGCAATCCTTTTCCAAGAAAAGGTTTATTGGTCATTTTAGCTAAAAGACAGGAATCACAATTACCATATGATTCAAAATCAAATGGTGTTAAGTAATCTAATTTACTTAACATTGTTATTCTTGTTTCACTAATATGGCCAAATCGCAATGCCAAAGATAGGTGGTATTTTTCTGATTACTTAACATTGGTCTCTTATTTTGTACATTTAATATGTCATGCCTACAAGTAAGAATATATAAACCATACATAAGAGGAGCATTTCCAAACACAATGCCACTTTGTAAAAAAAACAACAAGTGTTATCAGCAAAATGGAAGGAAACCCCTTAATGTCTAACATATGAATGGGAATTATATTCTTTGTTATAGAAGGAACAAAATAACAATTATTTAGTTCTAAACTATAACCGCTGGGTAAATCTAATTTATAAATGCTTATACGCATAGCAGCAACTATTGCTCCATTTCCTACACGTAGGCCAATTTCACCCAACCTAACTGCTTATTGTCACTTAGACTTTACACATTATTCCAATGTGTGAGCCACACGTTGTATCTAATACCCAACAATGAGAGTTAGTTGTAGACATAATAATATTAATGACAAAAATACCTAAGCTAAAAGCACTGGGTGCTTTGGCTAGATTAGCCCTACATAGCTTAAAACCTCTCTTCCAATGCCCTCTCTTTGCTGTAGAGGCATACATCCTTTAGTACCTTAGATTTCTTTTGAATCCTACCTTTAGGTTTCAAAGCTAGATGCTTAGGTCTAACCTTACTTCTCTTCTTTTGCTTGTTTTTTCCGTAGGAAAATATTCAGCAGTAGAGCTTACCTTAGCAATGTTATTCTTCTGGATGTTCATGTCAAACACAACTAATTCAGAAGAGTTGACATTTGGAACCTCGGGTACACACGTGTCAAACACATTCTCAATATTTTCTTGCCTAAACACTAAACGCACGTTTTGTTCGAAGTCTAGAAAGCCTGCTCGAGTACATTCGACTTCCTAAAATCTTGTCAAACACATTCTCAATATTTGTATCCAAGATATTTCTCAATGATAAATTCGACTTCCTAAAATCCTAGATAAGTTCAAATAGAACGGGAATTAAAATCATATATTAATTCATATGATCACATTTAGTAAATTAAATAATTTGGATTTTTAATTATTTAGCTCCCACTATTTTCATGTTCTTTGACCCCAATAAAAAGAACACATATTGTTTCTACAATCATAGTGGCCAAGATCCACATTCATACTATTACAGTCCCAGCTTGGGCTGATCACTACAATAATATAATGGGTAGGTCCCT